GGGGTGCTCCGGTGCTGACTGCCGAGTTGTGTTGTGTCAGCCCATTCGGAATAACCACGGGATGAATCGGTAAATTTGTTGTCACGAGTTCATTTATTACCGGTTGTTATTATCAAACCACCGCATCCTCATCTTTGCAACTTTGGCTCTCATCACAAAACAAAGCACCCGCAATCCCATCCGGCTTCTAAAAGCAACCAGTAGATCCATCCCTGTTTTTAGACAGGTTATCCTTTTAAACAGGTTGTCCAGCAATGATACTATTGATGTTTATTTCTGTTTAGATTCCTATTTGTAAAACTGCGATAAAATGTTTGGGTTATGCTGTTGTTAACTGTGTCAAAGAAACAGATGACTTTCCTGAAGAAATAATTTCGTCAATAACTAAGGTGAGAGTCGCTTGTGAGGACTTGACCACTGACCACAGCCTCAGATAAAGGTCGAAGTCGTTCATATACGTTGCAGAAGAAAAGACGTAAATTTACTGGCATTAAAAGATGTTGAAAACATCAAGATTTTGATGAATGCAAGTTAGGGAAAAGCAACGACATTTCCAACAAGAAATTATCATTTCTAACAAGAAATTATCCACCATTAGGGGTGTAGAAGGGGGTTGACCTATTTTGCAGATTGCATAATCATAACCTGGATAGTTCTTTGCAAATGTAGTTCATTTGTGGTAATAATGTTAACATCTATACTTCATTACTATGATTTTGTCATTTATGGGTTCCAACAGGAAATAGCTGCGCTATATTCCGATCTTTTATCTTAAATTTAGACGATGTATGTGTCGTTTCATTTTCAGGCTATTCAACACTCGTCTCTAGAAATCCGGGTGCTAGCTTGTGATGCTATCTATTACATTTCTCAAAACACACAAGATATATCAACATTATTTCTTAAAATGACGACATCAGAACTACTTCCTCTAACTAAAGAAAAGAACACATCTATAAAATTTGCAGCCGAGGTTTCTCTTGTATCGTTGATGAAATCTGGAAAAGATCAAAATCGTTATCAGGTGAGTGATTCTCAAGAGAAGACCTGGAAACCTCGGATCCTTTTTTCAAATGTTCTTCCAAAGTTCGTAAAAGCAATGTGATTGTACATTGCTCCATTTTGTATGCAACAACAAAGTATATTTGACTGTATTTATGTTACATGTCTCTAATGACAGACAAGATATGATTCCTTAAGATTTTCGCGAAAATGTTCCTCGATATTCTTGCAAATGTTCCTCAGGATCCCGAGACTCAACTTTTTCCAGGTCTGATAGGAGCAAGAAAAACTACATTTCTCAATAGACCTTCCCCCGTTTTGAGTGAAATTTTGATCTAGATAAATCTGGACAAAAATTTCACCACAGCTTGAAAGAGCATCACAAAATTAGTAATATTCCAAAGTTTCGTTGCGAAATATTGTAAAATGCGGATAATATAGCACTGTGAAGTTTGCCGTTTTTCAGTCATTTTGCATTACAAATGGAAATTGATAATCAGATGATCAAACTGATCAAACTTGTCCAGATTTGTCTAGATCAAAATTTCACTCCAAAGGGGAAAGGTCTATTCTGTATGCCACCCAAGACTAACTAAAAATTGAATTGACTTGTACTAGATAACACATGAGCAGCCGATCTTTATCTGATATATCTGATGCGAATGTTTTATCGTGCTTATAAAACGACCCATCTTATGAGTTCATTGGCGAAGTAATTTAAAAAATAAACATTGTCTAAACCGAGAAAATCAAAGCTGAAGTTTATGCAAATCCGGACAAATCTTTATGCGATTTACAAACATTGATTAAACATTCATTTCTTTTGTATTTTCTTCATGAATTATTAATGATTTTATAACATGAAATAGAACGAGTTAACAATTAATTCACTCGCACGATGGTACTTAGTGTAAGCCTCCTATACAGGGTGTCTAGAAAAACGCAGTGGAAATCAACAGGCTGTCGTGATCATAAATGTGGCTAAACAATTCAATTTTTGCATAGGAATGCGAAATTTTTGCATGAGAAATGGCCACATACTCGTCAAATAAAAATTGTCGGTCGAAATCACATTCTTCCACCATTGAGAATTGCATGGAAAACGAAACATAGACAATTCCCAAGAGGGAATTAAAGTTTAATGTTAAATTATCTAAAATAAGCTCAATTAACCACTGAACAGAGAGCGTTCGTAATTGCAGCAGGCTCGCATTGCTTTTGGATTGATTAACTTTGCATGATTAATGTAGTTCAATTCCCAACGGTGGAAGAATGTAATTTCGACCGGCAATTTTCATTTGACGAGTATGTGGCCATTTCTCATCGTTACGGTTTAACAAAGGTATCATAGAAAAGCTAAAGAAAAGCTAAATAACTGTTCTTTCGTCCTATATAAAATTGAATTGTTTAGCTAAGTTTATGATGCACGACAGCCTGTTGAATTTCCATAGCGTTTTTTTTAGACACCCTGTATTTTTAATTATTTATATTCTTGTTTCCTTCAGACGTGTTTAACGAGTCTTGATACATCATCTGCAAGTGTTCTGAGTGAATTTCACAAGAAATCAATTCCTAGAATATTAGAACGAAACGAAACTGTCGCTTGTGAACTAGATAATCCCTTTCCAACTGGTTTGTGACGTCACGGTAGCTTCATAAAGGCAGAATACCGAAGGTTGGAGGAGGCTTGACAGTGTGCTGCAAACCTCGACGACTTGTTTATGTTGAATGAGAAATACATTATAAATGTCCAAAGATTGAGTCCTACCTCGGCTAATTTAACAAAACTACCGAGATACTTTTCATTGCTTTTTAAAACCAATATCTTGCGATTACTTTTAGCAAAAAAATTATTTTAAATAACACACATACGAATGTACGAGAGTAAACAATCGATCTAGACTGCGAGTGGTCCCTCCTTTCCACAGGTTTAGCTTCCCAGGCGTGCGAGGGGAAAGAGGGACTGCCGACAACACATCAAAAACGAAATACGTCCACTTTTCGCTCTTGTCAAGTTGGCTCCGCCTTTGCATAAAAATTACTTGCATCCAATTAAATATATCCAATAGGAACCGTTAATGTCATGTTTACCGTATTTACTCGTTTGAGCGCCGCGGCGCTCTTTAAATTTTCAGAGCTTCAGATGCGGCGCTCATTCGGGGGCGGCGTTCTTTAAAAAAACTTTTTATTTGTGAATTATATCAAGAACTTTTAACAATAAAATAAACAAGTTTTAAAAGTTTTTTTGTCACTAAATGTCCCCATTTTGACGGCGAAATGTTTTTATACTGTTTAGTGCGGCGCTCATTCGGGGGTGGCGCTCTTTTAAAAAATTCGATCTCAAATGCGGCGCTTATTCGGGGGCGGCGCTCAATCGAGTAAATACGGTATTTATAAAATTAACATTCAATCTGGAAATTATTTATAGCAGAATTACTACATCAGATTTGATTGGCAGGCACATCGATTTCGACCAATGGGAATTTTGCGTTGTGTGGGCAACGCGTATTTCGTTTTTGGATGTGTTGTCAGCAGACCCTCCTTTGTCCCGAGGGACTGCTCGCGGTCTACAATCGATCAGAGTAAAATGGCTATATGGTTACTTGTCCTTATGAATTATATGAATTATGTGAATTATGAAACATCCAGGTTATAAACCATTGTCTTCGGTAGTTACTTCATCTGACCATGATCTAGGGGTGTAACGATGACTGAGGAGGTCTAAAGATGGTAATATAAGGAGGTCTAAGGATGACTGAGGAGGTCTAAGGATACCTAGGGGGGATCTAAGGAGCAGGGACGTGGCGAAACATCTGAAGTTGGGGGGGGGGGAGGTAACAGTTACGATACCCCGGTTTACGGTTACGGGTGATATACACGTACCCGCACCCGCAAACAGGGGAACGACTTGTAACATAAGAAATCCAAGATATTCCGGCGTGAGTAAACCTATGAGAGAATGGCAACTTTCGCTGTTGAGGTTTGCCATAGATTGTTGAAAACTTTGACAAGCATAAGTGCATTATTTATTTGGGTAAGATGTTGAAAATTTTTACTATTTAAACGGCCCACAAATAGTGAACAGAAAACACCCGTACCCGTTTGTCTTTTACGTGTAGACCTTGGTTTACCGCGGGGAAACCAGTGGGGGAAACGGGTAGAAATTACGGAAAAAAATGCTGGCATCAGCGAGAATTGGTAAACAAAATGGCGATACTCGTACCCGTAAAACGGAACCGGGGTATCTTAAATTAACTTCTCTAATAAGATTTTTGTGGCATGTCACCATAGAGATATCTTATAGTACACTAGATAGCGCATCTCTTTTAGTAAAATTGAAGCCAAGAATATTCCAGCGAAATGTATTTGGAATAGGTTTAACTTGATGTTTAAGTTCCCTGCGTAAGAAATAGAAAACATACGAGTCTTCTCATTTCATGGGAATATCCTGAGTCTGTAATAACGGCTTCAATTTTTGAATTGCAGACTAATTAGATGCACTATCTAGTGTATATAAGATATCTATGGAGTTGACTGGATATTAAAAGCTAGATTTTGTGGCATCTCACTCGAACGAATAATATTTGATAGGTATTGTAGATGGAAATTGTCCACTGTCATCGCAAACGAATTGGATGTAAATTGACTGTATTTTACAAAAATGGTTATCGTTTCACAAAACCTGAAAATGTCAAAATTTTAACTTGAATTTTTGAGTTTCTATGGGCGCTTTCCATTTCATGGCCTGACCGGTGTCACAGGAGATTCGCCCCCCCCAGGAGATTCGCCCCCCCCTCTCAAAAGGGGGGCGATATTCCTAGGAATTTCGCCCCCCGGGGAGCGGAAATGTAGGGGGGGGGGCGAAAATCCTGGGACACCGGTCAGACCCGAATTTTTGTCTCTGTATCAATGGAAAGATCTGGTCTATGTTTCTCAAATATCTAGCGAAAATGGACCTCATTCTAATTTTATCAAAATGTTTCGGTCAGATAGGTCCAAAGCCCAAACGTTTTGTGTTTCATTCAACAATTTGACCGTTCTGGCACATCTGGCTGGCATAGATATGCTGGCCGGCCGTGTGCAACAACAAAGGATATGGTGACACACTGTAATAGACTGACATAAAGTAACTACCTGTATCTTCGGTAAACATCTGACTCAAATATTGCTGGCGCACAAAAAAGAAAAGCGTGTTTTCAACTTTCCAGTTTTTGTACTCTGGTTTTTATCAAAATTTCTTTAAATTTACAATTATTTTGGTTTGCTCAGTTGTGGCTCAGTCTTGAAGAAATTGGTTTACACATGGATCCTGTATTGCCAGTGTTTCTTGGCATAGCTGTGCAAGAACAAGTACGTGCTGGTGTTTATTTAACTAGAACGGAATAAACTTTTAGATACTAAACATTTGAACTTTTATATTGATCATTTATAATAGGGAAATTTTTCACTTTACCGTACCGGAGTATTAGAGACCTTGCGATTTAGGACGGCAACGGCTACCACATTCCAAGCCCGCTATTTTATAGGATTTTCTCAAACTTTCATATATTGTATAAAATCTTATGCTCTTTCATTTGGTTAATACTTACACGTATAAAGTGGTGCAAGCCTGCAAACGAACGACCTGTCATGTTGAATCTCATGCATACTTCACAGTGGTAAAGAATTGAGTAAATACAATATATGAATTTAGTCTTGTCCTCGCTCTGTTTACAACGCCAAATCACAGATTTTCACATCTTGATACAACGGCTGTATTTCAAGCAGCAACAAGTGCAACTTCAAACTGGGTTTGAACAGCAGAATTCTTCCCAACCATAAAACCCATGTCTTCAACCTCAAATTCATACGTATCAAATTCATTGGATTGATAATATACAATGAATTATCTTTACTACCATTTATTTGAAGGAGTTTGTTTTGGCCATCGCTGTTGCGTTGTCGTCCTAAAATTGTAAGGTCTTTAATCACTGACGACATACGCCATCAAAACACATGATAAAAGAACGGAAAACCCGCCATCAAATACTTGTGGTACATGGGCAGTGAACTCAATCTATTTACCTGGAACGATAACATTCAGTCATTTGGCAGTTAAAAAGTGAAGCCTTGCGTGAGCAACATGTGAGCAGTAGCGTCAGCTCTCCACGCCATTAAATGTAGTACATCAGTTTCAGTCCCTTCATACAGTACTGATCACAGGAAAGTTAACAATCCCGTATCCCATCCCACGGGATGGGATCGCGGGATGGGATTCCCGTCCCGTGTGACAGGATTCCTGTCCTGTGTGACAGGATTCCTGTGGGACGGGAATCCGTCCCGCGAATATGAAAATCCGGATTTAAAATAAAACGTTAACTGCAGTAATAAAATCGACAAATGTTAGGAGATGTTTTCTGATTTAGCCAAAGCTATAAACAATTTTTAAAAACAAATATAAATATAAGTAAATATCACAATTGAAAAATATAAGGGAAGCTTTAGAAATGTCAATTTTGTATTCAGAGTATCATATTTAATACCTTAGAAATTTCGACTTCATTAGTTACTAGGTTTCTGACTATATATACTTACCAGAAAGATATAAGATGTAGCTAGGCTTAGAATTCTTTCACGCTTTAACAGAACAGAAACTTTAGATTTTTGTTTAATTTCTCTGCCACCTTCGACCATAACCAGGGGCGGATCTAGGGGTCGTCAAATCAGTCGCGCGACTGAAGTAAAAATTGCCTACTTAAAAAAAATTGACTCCAGCTATCTATAGTGGCCAGTAGATCGAGTTACTAAAATTTTGAATCATACCGGTAGTCCAGTTATACGTTTCATGCTGCGGCAGAGCTTCGGCAAAGTAATGTCAGTCCGTCACGAACAGCGGTCTTACGCATGAAAGTTGATGGATTCGGGGGTTAAATCCGGCTATTTGATTGGCTGACACGCTCAATTCCATGGTTACGGCCATTTGCGATGGATCTGTGGGGAGGCCTGACGGATTTGCAGATTCAGGGACTCTGTATGAGCCTTCTGATTGAACCATTTAACAAAATTCTGAACTGTCATTGGCTTATATTTTCGACGGATTCGCAGCGTGCGATATTCGTCAACACGGCATTAAAATTAGTGTTTACCTCTGAGTGTTTACTATTTCGAACGTTTACATTACGAGCGATTTCTACCAGCGATATCTGGAAACATTTTCGACAATGTTCAGTTTGCGATTGCGGCAAACGATTTGGAATCTCTATACAATGTTTGTATACGGAGCTTGAAAAGAATATCGTTGCCTCACGGACGAATTTTGTTGACAAGCTACTGAGTGGCGCATCAATAACACAAACAGAAGCCTCGCTAGCAACTGGCCCAGAGAGCAACTGCTAGAGAAAGACAAAGCTTGCACTTCAATAAGGTAGATAAATTTATAGTTTTATAGTGATGTATCTTTAGTTCATATTAAAGGTTTATAAACCGGAGTACCAAGCCATCGGTGTTGTTAATGATTGTCTGACATATGATATTTTAAAAAATTCGCTATACAGTATTAGCATAATTCTCGCATCAAGAAGCTAAAATATGTTAATATTCAATGTCTACAATGTAAGCATTTGTTGATTCTCATGTTCGTGAAGTTTTATTTAAAATTTCTTTATATTTATGCATTAATCACACAACATGTACGCTTTAAGAGTATGGTTTATCTATATAGCCTATCGATCGACATGGCTTGTTAGACCGCATTGGTCTGGTCACTCTGGCCGGTGTAACATGATGATGTGAAATATTTAATCAGGTAGCTTGAAAAGCTCATTGACTGGTAGCCATTCTAATGTTACTAGTTTATTAATAGTATATTTTGTGTTCAATATATAGACCACAGTAAGACTTTATTAATAGTAAGAGTTTAGTTTATTAATATTTGACATAACATCTTTGTCTTAGTTAATGAAAATGTGGTTGTTTTTTTAGAGCTCAGGCTACTGGCAATTACTTGTATAGTTCTGTGTTTTTGGTAACAGAACAGTATATTTCCTTAATGCTTTGCTGTCATGTGAATTTAGAAGTTTTACAATGATACACTTATAAGTATATAGTACCAATATGACGATTCATTAATCCACAGGCAAACATGTTAAATTGCTGCTGAGTTTTAAAGTAGTATATAATTATAAAATAATAATCAATAAAATTTTGTATTGAAATAGGATCAATATATCTTTGTGCATTTGTAGTTTTTCTTACAGTGGATAAGAATCAAATGTTCGTTTGAGTTTATCAATTTAATCTAAATATGTTTTATAATTTGGTTAATTAGGATTTAGGTTAATAGGTGGGGGGGGGGGGACCAAATCGCATTTTACGTACGGAAAATTCTAAAAATCCAGTGGCGGACTATCAGCATAAAAAAAAATTTAGAGCCCAC